TACAATGTTAGAGGGAACACTCGGGAGGCACTAATTCGATGTATCATCAATACTGCAGCACTTATTAAGAAATACATGCAGCAATCAGGAGAGATACAGACGCGCTTCGTAGACGAAGCAGAAAGTGTAAATGAAAATCACATAACAACATTAGTTTTTCTTATACCTAACTTAGATTAACAATCCATTTCATTAATTAATTAAAATAGAAATACAGGATGTCCCATAACCACATGATCAAAAAGATACTGCGACATTCTTTGTCTCAAAAGAAGACGATTTGACCTAACTTTCATTATGAAAAAATGTCTGGCTCCTCTGCTATTGACTGTTAAAGTTCTTGAAAAAAAAAAAATGTTTTTTTTGAAATATCTGGAGAATGTTACGATGGATTTTAATGAAACTTGCTGTGGACTTGTTCCTAAGTAAAACTCATGTTTTGATGAAGAAACCGCGTCCATCTGCCTTGGGCTAGTGGTAAATTCATTCATTTTATTCATTAATTCATTTTATTTTTATTGATGCATCAGTCCTTTTTCGAGATTTTCGTGCTCTTGGTAAAATCTTGTAGCATTCATAGTTTCTACGCAAACATTTTTTTTTCAATTTTAATCAGTCATTATCACTACTAAAGTACAACAACTACTCACTACAATTACTACTATCGTAGTAAGCGATGATGTCATTTTATAATAAATGAATTGTCAATCAATTCGTTTCGAATAACGTGTTCTAATGAAGAGATGACCGACTGATCAGTTTTAGGGTTTTGCGAAGACAACTTGGGTGGGAGTGTACGCGTCTACGCGTACCAAAAAGTACAATTAATCGCATCATAAGACAGCAGCTTCTGCATCCTTATCATGCGACGTCTATTATAGCTTTTACTATACCATTTTGAGAGAAGACTTCAATTTCGCTCCTTTATTTAAGGAGCGTCGGCACGCGATCTAAATTTCACCAGCCGAATTTTATTCACCATTACGCAGAACAAATCCCTCATGCGAGGGGTATTAACCACTTTCAGGTGGAATTTCCAATAAATGTTTGGGCCGGGATCATCGGTGACATCCTTCTGGGTCCTTATGCCATGCCGCGCCGCTTGAATAGCAAAATTATTTCAATTTTCTGACGAATACTTTTCCGGTTCTAATGGAGGATGTCCCTCTCGATCTTCGTGCTCAGATGTGGTTGTTAGATTTTTTTCTATGGGGAGCCTTGAAGAATAAAGTTTACGCTACTCCTTTGGAAGAATTATTGCGTAGAATTCAAAACGAGGCGGACGTAATACGGACAGATCCAAAAATGTTGAGGAGGGCACAATTCAATTTCAATCGAAGCATCCAGCTATGCATCCAGGAAAATGGGGGGGCATATCGTACATGTCTTGTAATTCCACCATCATCTATCGTATCTATGTAGCTATCAGCCAGTTTCAATAAAGAGAAAAGAGAATTATGTCTTTCCTAAGTACGTCTTTACATTTTTTGAGTGTTAACAAAAAATAAATTCGAAACGAATTGATTGACAATTGACTTATTATAAAATGACATCATCGCTTACCACGATAGTAGTGATTGCAGTGAGTATTTGTTGTATTTGAGTAGTAGTGATAATGATTGTCTAAAATTGAAAAAAAAAAATGCGTAAAAGCTATGAATGCTACAAGATTTTACCAAGAGCACGAAAATCTCGAAAAAGGACTGATGCATCAATAAAAATAAAATGAATTAATTCCAGCGACCAAATAAAAGTTCTGGTAATTCTTGTATCAAGGCACTCAAGAATTTACCACTAGCCCAAGGCAGATGGACGCGGTTGCTTCTTCAAAACATGAGTTTTACTTAGGAACAAGTCCACAGCAAGTTTCATTAAAATTTATCGTAACATTCTCCAGATATTACAAAAAACATATTTATTTTCAAGAACTTTGACAGTCGATAGCAGAGGAGCCAGACATTTTTTCTTAATGGAAGTTTTGAGCCAAAGAATATCGCAGTACCTTTTTGATCATGTGCTTATGGGACACCCTGTATAATATGCTAAAAACGTTTCTGATTGTAATGTCCAAAAGTAATTTATCAAATACCACATAAGATAAATTAGAAAATAATTCTTCAGAATTTTTGGCAAACGACATTGAGTTTCATTAACATTGATTACAAACGGTCGACAAATTTCATAAAAAACGTGGAACTTTCTTTTTTATAAGATATGAATGTCATTGCTTCAAATAAAACATCAATGTTATTATCAGAATTATTCTAATTCTTATTTCTGTTTTTTTTTTAAAAATTATTTAAATTTTTAATGAAAGTTATGATATATCAAGTGACATATGGAAGGAAATAAAACAATAATAAAATTTATTTACAATTTTATTGTATGTAACTTGTAGAAAAACTTTTAAGGCGACTTTTATAAATACTATGGCACTAGGATCTTTATTTACAATTATTTTTACATACATTTTCACTACATACATACATTAAAACTTATTAAGTACTTGTATAAAAATAAATACTACATTAATCACGTAAAAATAAACTTAATCGAACTTAATGTAAAAACTATTAAAAATTATTAATAAAAAAATAAACTGAACACATTGAAAAATTCAAATAAAAGCGGAAAATTGCACAATTGCCTTAAAATGATTTTTCTAAACATGGACATAACTGTTTTATTCTATCTATTGCTACATAATAAATACTTTTAGTTTGGTCTTGAAATAATCTGTTTGAAACAAACATAAAATACTAATGGAAGATAAGCTAATAGAGCTTCAACTTTTTTATAATACAATCTAACTTTATTCAATCCAAATTTAATCAAGTTTTAAAAAATGTGTTCAACTTAATGTATCATACCTGCAAAATTACTACATACCTAAAAAATTGTTGAATCGGCTACTATACAATTACAGAATACGATTACAAGTATCATATTTAAATTTATAAATTATTTAAAATATTATCGTCCAGCGATATTTTAAGCGTACCTATAGAAAATATTTACAATTATTAATATACATTTATGTATGTATTTGTTCCCCTTCTGTAGACTTCTTTTATAGAAAATTGAAAGGTCCGATTTAAAATATTGCGTCACTACATTATTAATATGTGATTAGTTATTACTAATTATTAACAATAATAAACGAAAATTGGGCAAAGTACCAGCTTTTTTTTGTTGAAAATTGTAATACATACACAATTTTTTTGATACCTCTATCACAGTTATTATTTCTATTGATAAATAGTCTCCAGCCAAATCTGATGTTAATACTATGTATTTAATTTAACTAAAATAATCTAGAAAAGGGAAACAATATTTACTTACAAATGTAAAACAAAATTATGATTAACTCTGATTGGCTCTAAATGTAAAACAGGTCATAACTCAAAAATATTTTCCTATAAAAAATTTTTACTATTTCTTAATTCAAGATTTTTTAAATACATACGTAGTTACAAATCTGATTGAAACAAATAACTATAATAGGATAATAATAATGGGTCAAATCGTGTATGAATAATAAAGTAAGTGAAGGTAGGGGAATTTTTATTAAAAAGTATTTATTATAGAAAGAAAACATTATCAATACTAATAAAAACTTAAAAAATAAATAAATATAAGTAGGGCAAATAAATATATACAAGAAATAAGGCTACAAATAAATGTTGGAAATAGTTATATATCATGAGTCATGTGACTTGCAATTTTTTTATGTGAAATTTTATCACACGACCTTATTCTACATCCTTTGACTTTTTATTCTATTTCAATTAACGAATGTGCAAGAAAAAGTTAAATTGTCCGTGCAAATGTGCAAATTGGCCTGTTCTTTAGTATTAATTCGGATACAATCAAATGTGTATGTAAATAAAATTGTATAAATAAAATGATAAAATAACTGATTATGAAATAAAATATCGGGGACTAGTTACATTGTACAAAATTTAAAAATGAATAGAATTTTATAAAGATTGATTTTTATCTTAAAAAAATGGTAGCAGAGTGAGCATAATTCTTTAGTGTATATTTAATACATATTTGTTATTTTCTATAAAATTTTTACTATTTTCAATAAAAAGTGTATTAACATGAAGAACACTTTTTATAGAAAACTGTTATTGATAATTTCAGTAATTCGAAATAATGTCATTTTATGATTTACTAACAATTGACAATATTGTTTAAATCACCTTTTATTTATTGACTTTACGACAATCTGATAAATTATCATATATATATTATTGTATTGTAATACCTTTTGTAGCCTGAAGATGTAATAGAATTTTATGTCACGAAACTATTTGCGAGAGAACAAAAGCTGTTTATGAGAGTAAGACATTGTTACTTATATTTGGTAGGTACAAGTTTTTATGAGATTGTTCCGAAAATTCAATATTAAATCCGTTTAATCTAAAAGTTATGCTGTTTTTTAGTTAATATTTAGCCCTAACCTTTCTTTAGTTAAGGGATTTTATTCAAATGTGATTACTTGTAACAAACTCGACCTACCATAAAAAATTATGAAAATTCTGAAGTTCTAGAGGATATAAATGTCTTTTAATTAAATTAAATTAATCATAACATTTACAGCTTCATTAAGAAGAGAGTCGTAGTAGGAGTGACAAAGACAGGAAACCTTAATAGCCTGGCAGGTATTTTCTGTGCAAATATTTTACTTAGGTCTGGTAAATAAAGTTATTCGGTGAAGGTTTTGTATTATACGGGGTGGCATTGAAATTGTGTAAAATATTCTGGGGGATTCATAGTTTTTTTTTAATAGTAAGTTTATAATAAGAAAACAATTGACGAAGTTTTCCACACATGTATAAATTTTACCCCTAAAGCATGATATAAAAAAATAGTCCACTAGGAAGAGTTGTATTTGTAAGAGTTGTGGGTTTTGATTTTTCACTAACATATAACATTTTTGGGTTGACTTTTTTTTATACATAATGGACATATATTCAATAATTACGGCAAAATTTATACAAAATTTTCGTCATATACTTTCTCATTTAAACTCACTATTAACAAAAAATATTTTATAAGTTTACCTTTTTAAGGTCTCTAACTCTCTTACTATACATTTGTTGATCCATGCTAGTAACAACTTTTCTCCATTTTTATGGGTATTACCATCTCCCGGATTTAACACCCTGTATATTTAAATATATGAGCAAATTAACCCTGCATATTTGAAACTCGCGGACGAGATGTATTTGGCCAAGCTATATTTGCATTATTTAAAAAGAATAAATAGATAGGTAACTCAATATCAAAGTTAAAAAATTTACAAAATGAATATCTAATTCCAAACCAGCCATATCAACTGTTTTTGAGAAAATAAAACGCATTTCCGTTCCGTATCACTGTAAATTACAATAATTTTACAAATTATTCAATATAATTAAAATATATTTGAAAGATTTTAATGCTCACATTTGTGTAAAACAAAATGTTCAAATGATGCCATCTAGGGGTGCATCAAAACATCGAATGCATTTTTTTATCGGTAACGCTTAATACTATCGATTTGGAACAGAAAAATGTTTTTGCAAGGCTTTTTGATAACTTTTAATATTAAAATGTTTAAACTTTTTGCAAAATTTCAAATGAAATTATAATTTAGAGCTACGAAATTAGTGTCCAAAATTTGAAAAAAATTCTTCAACGAAAAATTACATCGGAATATACTGTTACTCTGTTACTAACTTATACTCTTATTTTTGTATCGAATCGCTTCCAAAATGTTTTACTCATAATTCCTTGCATATTTCCGCGAGAAAATATTTTTTTACTTGTATTTATTATTGTTGTTATTTTTTTTAAGTTAGAAAACATCTCTTCCCTTCACCTACTTCACTGTACCTAAACATGATTTTTTTGAACTGTATATTTTAATCCTGAATTTATTTGATCTGTCAAAAAAAATAAAACTAGTAAAATAGTGAAAACTAGATTAAATTTTGGTCCATCTTATCCATGGGCCACATCGGCGAAATTTCTATCACTTACGCCGACAAAGGCTCAGAAAGAAAACCTTACACGTTTAACGTAATACCTAAAATAGCTTATCGTACAATTGGACTACTTATGATTAAATAATGTACAGTTACACAGGGACGGCTTGCTTGGCGTTTTTCAAGGCGCCGTTACACAGGGGCGCCGTCTCATCGGGCGCCGTTACAGTCACGGGAATGGGGCTGGAGGGGATTTTCATCTCTATGTGACCGTCGTCGATCGATAGCGAGTCCATGCTACACAGGGTGTCGCTGGAATGGGACCGGATCGAAGGGAATATACCCGATCGGACTTGACCTGAAAAAAATAAATAAATAAATAAATTACTTCTGAAACATAATCCATAGAATAAAGCAAAGTAAAATAAGTAGTAAAATAAATATATAAAACAAGTACGCTGTTTTCCTAAAGTAGGTATAGGAAATTAGGAATCTAAAAAATTAATGGATAGCAGCAAATTGCCTAAAAAGTCTTTTATTCCAGTATCGCCTTCACATTAAAATACATTCCGCTCCAATGTGTGCTCAATGGAATAAATGGTAGTCATACAGGAATAAGTCTCGACTATACAGAGTAAATCTTACATGTGTACCTACATACATTCTAAGTATAATTTTAAAATGTAGAATATGTACTTAATAGTTTATTTGCGAAGAAATTAGGATGCATTATTTTTTTAATAGAATAGGACGTTGGAGAGAAACAGCTGATTTCCTAGTCGTCGTCTCGTCCAGTTTTGCAATTGCTTTCAAAATCAAAGTGCGACTGATCTCAACTTTATTAAGACTTTATAGACGATTGAGTGAGTGGGTTTAGTCGTATTTGTCATTTTAAATAAGTTAGTACCATACATCTCTGGAAAGTAAGAAGTTACACAATACGTACTACAAACTGAATAATTACCTACTTGAACATATATGTAATACTAAAAACTCATATTCAATTACAAAACAGTGAAAACGTTAAGAATATTAAGGTTAGGTTAGTAACCGAACAGTAGGCAGGTCAAGATTCACTCTCGATGTAGGTCCGTGGTCAGGAGCGGCCCGAAAAGGGGTTTAAATAATGATCTGAAAATATTTTTTTAGTATAATTATGCATTTTAAAATTTTTTTAATCGCGTATTCGTATTCTACTCATTTTTCCCTATTTTTTCTTTAAATTAATGACAATATGACTGAACCATCCACCGTATATTCATAAATATTAAGCTTTCACCGACGGTATGGACACTTTACATCAAAACTTGCGTAGAATATGTGTACTTTTAGGGGACCGCCTAGACGGGTGTCTTGGCCGGTGGATTTCGATCTGCCGAGGTAAGCATCACGGACGCAGGCTGGAAATTGGATGGGTGACCTAAGGCATTAACATATTTACCATGTCACTATTTGTGTAAAACGCAAGGTTGATGAGACAACGTATTTGTCTCGATTTGTTATTTTCACGGTAGGTTCTTTTAAACGCATTAATATTTTCACGGTAGATTCTTTTAAATGCATTAATATTTTTGGAGAACTACGCTGTATTCAAGTACAAATATTGCAGAACCGGACTCAGTTTAATCATTAAGGATGTTAGAGAGAGACGCAATTCAATGGCTTGCCAAGCGGGTCAATCGAGACATGTGTGAACCGCTGCCTCAGAGTGCTTTTCACGTTCATGTCGCGTTAGTATACTGTTGCCTTTGTTATCGTGCTGATGTTGCGTAATTAATTCCTATACATTGGTGTTTATGGTGTGGTATTGTAGACAATTTAATTTGTTGCTTTTTAATAAATAATGCGTACGCCTATGTCCCGCGGCTCTGTTCTGACAGCCCTATTAATCACCCATTTTTTGCATAATGTAGTTAAATAACCTTGTTTTGATAATTTTACCGTTTTATCGATATTTTGATAATATACAACCTAATTGTAATGTATGTAAAATATTTGCGGTTTTCAATTCCAAGTTCGTTCTATATAATTCAAGGTAGCATATAAAATTAGTATTTAACACTCCAAAGGTACATCATTACCATTTGCTTGTGGATGGAATTTAGCATCATAAATAATCAAATGACCATGACCAACAACTTATGAGGTTAATCTACGTAGATAAATATAAAATGTTTATTCTGAAATCTGATCAAGAATAGAACAAAATCTGAATTTGCAATTGATTGGCCGGGTTATGGAAGTGTAATTTCCATTTTATAAATATACAAATATCTAAATAGAATATCAATTTGTACAATTTATACTTAAATTGTTCCAAGATTAGTTTTCAAACAGAAGAAGCTCGAATATCTTTGGAATCTAAAAATAAGCGGGATGTTTATTTTCCCCTCATGTTTATTTTCTTGGACAATCAGTATTTCATAAACAGGGTGAATCAGTCATAATGTCATTAATTTTAAGGGAAGATATGGAAAAATTAGTGAATACGAATACACGATTAAAAAAATAAATGCGTATTTATGCTAAACTAATTTTTTCAAATCATTATTTAAACCCCTTTTCGGACCGCTACTGACCGTTGACCCACAAAGGTTTATCGAGAGTGAATCTTGACCTACTGTATTAATCGGTCATTAACCTAGTTTTTACTGTGTTTTAATGAGTAGCGAACGACAAGGAATAAACAGATATTTTTACCTACACATGAATGAATAAGATATTTTTACATTTTTAATATAAACAAATATTATTTATTTGTTAATAAAAACAAATGTATAAGGATAATAATTGTTTTCGAATGCTAGATTAATAACAATTTAGTACTTTAATATTGTTAACGTTTGCACTATGTTTTATAATTGAACATGAGCTTCTAGTATTATGTTGAATTAATTATTCAGTTTGTGGTACGTACACCTACTGACTTATTGCTTTTCAAAGAGTAGTAGGTATTGTATCTACCTATTTAAAATGCCAGTACGTCTAAAACAAATGCAAATTCAAAACGACTGGGAAAATCAGTTGTTTCGCTTCAACGTTCGAGCGTTCTGTGGTCCGCGAGCGCGTTCCCGGTCAGAAAATGTGATGCAAAATAGGGCGCCGAAATAGCGGGAGCTAAAGGTAATCTGTTTATCTTTGAGAAAGTCGAATAAATTTTTTTTTCCCATTTTCTATTTTTATTAGGCCTTCCGAATACGTGGTTAAAATTAATGACGTTATTATTGAATTCCCTGTACTATACTCATATGTCTTTATAAAGTGACTTTGTATCTATAAGTGATTTATCTTACATTATTATGAATGTATTGTCTTAGTTTCCAAATAAAAAAAAACAGGAATGTTAATTTCCTATTTTTCTCGCCTTTTGGCACTTTTTCACTCGATGCACATTATTAATGTTTCTATTCTTATTATTCAAGTTGATAATACAAAACTGAGTACCTACTCACTCAGTGTAGATAAGTTTCTTTTTTTAGAAAAAATATTTTTGTTTAATTTAAACCTTTAACGAAAACTGTTCATTTGTATGTTTTCTGTCATCTTGTTGACATAATAATTCTGAATCATCCTGTATATCGAATAACTTGTCAAATGTTCAGATGTTAATAATGAAGATATTTGGGGTCTTGACATTCAAGTGTTTAGGCTTCAATAAATGGGACGTAGAGAGAACATTCAAGTTTAATTATATTAAATTTCTCCCAACATAAGACTAATCGTCAATAAAGGTATACATTATATTATTATTAATTATTAGGTGAGCAATTTATGAAATTTGACTAATTGTTTTTAAGAGTCGTTCGTTAACAATTCATAATGATTCAAGGAAGACATAGTTATCAAATTTTTTAAAAACATTCAACACTAACATGTACCTATGCGTGTCATAATATGTATATACTTAAAGATAAAGCAACTAATCATGTCACCATTCTGTTTTCTCTTCGCGATAGCACAGTGAAATAAATATTAAAAAGTTAGTTACCCTTTTGTTCTAAAAAGCATTGTTAAAACTTGTATATCGTGCAATTCCATATCAAAGGCCGTGTAAACTACAAAGCAGAAAAATAATAGGAAGGAGCAACTATTGCTATAAAGAACACCAGTAAGTACCAATAACGAAATAAATAAAATTAAGCCAAAACGTCAATCTTACCAGTCGTCAATAATTTTGGTTTTTCTGCTGGAATAAAAAAACACATTAATATTTTCAGTCCCGAAACCAACATTTATTTACAATGCAATTATAAAAAAAATGACACTTTAATAATAAAATTTAAAAAACTCCTCGGTATGCAGGGCGCAATTTTAAGTGGGGGTCAGTTTTGTAGGGATAATAGTACCTGTTCCTCAGAATAACCACTTATTTATAACATTTTTTTTTAATCAAATAAATAGTTGAATTATAATCATTTTTTAAACCGCACTTAAACTGTTGTCTACGCGCCACTGGACAGGTCATAAATCAAGTTGTACGCGCGTTACATTTTTACATTACATTACATTTATTTGATATTAACGGAGTGACAGAGAGCGAAATTGCTATAGAAAACTTTATAAAAACATATTGCTTTTGTATGACGTTTGTGAAATGTGCTTTAGTCATTAAAAAAATAAAAAAATCAATGTTTTAAAAAAATGTCATTTGCATGATTTATTAAATATTAACTAATAATTGGTATAACTAAAACTACCACTAACTACAGAAAATAACTTACTAATCTGAGAGATTTGAAATATTTTTAAAAATTATTTTAAGTTTTTGTTAAAAAGTATCAGTTGTTATTTTTTTAAATAACGTTGTTTAGTTCATGAATCTCAGTGTCAATGACCTTTGACGTTGACCTAGTTTAGGTGAACTGCGTTATATCAATCCACTTGTAGGGATATGACAATAGGGTGCTGGTAGCAAAACATTTGCTCTAGTTGGTTAATTGAGAATGGCCGAATATGTCACTGCTTCATTTCATTAAATTTCTTTTAGTTTGTGAAACTATAAAAAACATATAATGTGTCCCACTTTTTATGGAGTCACTCTGATATTTCGCACACCTGATATCCGAATATTTTGAAACATTGTTGGTGAATATATGTATACCTATAAAGTGAGTCTTTAGACGTAACCATATTGTAGTCAGAGGCGTCCGATGGAAAAAGGGGGTTGATTAAACAAAAAGTACCTATTAACGATTTTTTTAGAAAAATTCTGGTATGATATTCTTAATCAGTACCCTTAGAAACCCCTTTGTACAAAGGTGTTTGAGATATGGGTCGTCGAAAAACAAATTTTTTCAACTTAAAATAATTTGTATCTTTGCTCTCGAATGAGAAAAAATAATAATTTTGTCTTCAGAATAATGTATTGTATTTGCGACAAACGTACAAAATATTATTTTGTTGTAGAATCATTTCATTCCAGTACAATACATTATTCTGAACAAAAAAAAGAACACATTTTTTTCATTTGAGAGCCCGTTTATTTTAAGTAGAAAATAATTGTTTTTTGATGCCCAATATCTCAAGCACCTTTGTACAAAGGGGTTTCTAAAGGTGCTGATTAAGAATATCTTACTATTTTTTTTTCTAAAAAAATCGCTAATACTCTTTTTGAAAAATCCACCCCATTTTCCATCTGCGAATCAGACACCTCTGACTACAATCGAATATGGTTACCTACGTCTCACTTTATAGGTATATATTTACTACCAAAGTTTCAAAATATTCAGATACCAGGTGAGCGAGATATCAGAGTGGCTCCATGAAAAGTGGGACACATTGTATACGAATTAAGGAAGATATTTGTCAACAATGCACATCATGGAACCCAATTGGGTATGCATCCGCGATTAGCACACCCAATTATTTAAGGTTACACAAGCCTATCCAGTGGATTATGAAAATTGTGAAAAAAAGTAAAAAATAATTCAGTTTTCAAGAAGGAATTTGAAAAAACCAACTTGTAAGTATTTACAAAGGTCAAAGGTAGCCTTCATATAAATATGACCCCATTCAAAGTTACACCCTGTATAAATATTTAAAAATGTTTTTTTTTCTCTTTCATAACGAGAAAAAAGATGCTAGGTGAAAAATATATTAAAAGTAGGTACAAACGTGCATTTGCATTTTTACATAGCATTAGTGTAAAAAAAATCTATTTATTAATTATTATTTTCAAAATTTAATTAATCCGTCATATATTTTTAAATATTATTTGCCGTTACCAGTGGCGTACACAGAATTTTGCCATGGGGGACTCTTACTTTTGCTATAAGAACAAATATATAGGAATTATTCATCACGATGTAGTTCTGATTCCCCAGATGTCCCTTTGCATACGCCACTGGCCGTTATCCAAAATTTTAGTATAGTATTTAGTAAATTAAAAACCCTGTCACCCATTTACAAAGATACTGCCATAAAAATTAGCGGATGTTAGTAAGTCCCAATTAAAAAAAGTATCAAGTATAACTTACTCAAACAGTCGTTGCCGTACATGACCTTGCGCTCATCCAGCTCCCTGGCGCTGCACAGTGGCGTATCCACTTCTACGGTGTTGTTGAAAAGAGCATAATCGACTTCGTACTCCCCCGAGTCCTTCTTGAATGTGATGAGTGACTGGAACCTGTGACCCCACAGGATTTCTGACGGTAAATAGCTCGACCGAGCTTGCGTCGTCATACCCGTAGATTCTATGACTCCCTCTGGGAATAAAAGATGTGATTAAGGCACGTGGATATTTATCAGCAGAATAAGTAGGTATAAAGTTATTTTCCAATTTAATAGACGGTTAGTATAGCCCATTGGTGTTTTACAGCTCCAGATGTGTAACGTTTTATTCGAGAATAAATATTCCAAGAATAGTAGAAATATATTTGAAGCAGATAGTATAAATATATTTTTCGCATGTGCATGTTATTTATTAATTGAATAGTTTGACAAGCAGACGAAATCTGCTGCTTTTAGATTCACGTCTTAAACTTTGTTGCTGGAAAAACTGGAATTGATTCGAATATCTGTTATTGAACAGTATGTCGATATTTAGCTAAAAAACATTTACGTTGTTTTTTTTTTGGAATTATTGTACTGAGAAAACTTAGATGATTCGAAGGTTTTTTAAACTTTGCCAATGAAGGTCATAATTACCAAGATATTTAAAAAAACACAAATTACAATGTAACAACATTGCAGGTTTTGATAGTCGATAGGATTATCCCAGAAATCAGAGAGAGAGAGGGAGAGAGAGAGAGAGAGAGAATATAAAAACAAGTAGTATCTGTAATAAATAAAATAGTCTTACCTAGCATAACGACGATCTCGAACCTTTCCCTGAGAAGATTGTTGGCTGACATGTTGTACAATGGAGACTTACTGTCAATTTTGTGCACGATAGTGGTTGGCCATATGAAGAATATTTTGTCTTCCTCACCATCTCCACCCACCTAAAATCAATTTGTCATAAATGCTATTAAGAAAAAGAAATTATGTATAATATATGCAATGCAAATAAAATTTACCAATTTCAAAGAGAAAAGCTACGAATTTAAAAAAAAATGTTCGCTTTTGAAAAGTTTGTCCACGTTTTGTCTATATGTATCTACAGGGTGTTTCAGAAAGACTTTCCGTAAATTCAGGGGGTGATAGTACGACAAAAAATAAGAATTTTTTGTCATATGAACTATATGTCTATCTCCTCTTGTTTTCGAGATACAGAGCGACAAAATAAAATTTTTTAAATAGATTTTTTACGAAAATTTCCAAACGGCGCGAAATATTTTTATGAAATTTGTTATTCCGTTGTTTTTAAGGATGCCAAATACGCTGGTCTAATTATTTTTTGGATATTTCATAGAGGGCGCTAGTTATGGTACATTCCTATTACATTTTAAGTTCTAATTTTTTTAAGGTTGGGTTTTTTAGTGATTGTTAGTGACTGTAGTTAGTAATGACTAATTACAGTCACTAAAATTTTGATATAAAGTTAATTAGAGTTTAAAGTATTACTAAGAATGTATGCGTTGTTTATGAGACATCCATTAATAAGTCTGATAAAAGACTACTTTGAGAAAAGTCACTTATTTTCTACACCGTAATATTGTAAGAGTTCAGTTAAAAGCCTTGTTTCTCGAAAACTGTCCACATTAGGAAGTTCTAACAAGAGTACATTATTTTTAGAAAATAAAATTGTACATTAGAAATTGGAGCCCGAATTGGAATACCAAATTTCATAAAAATATTTCGCACCGTTTGGAAATTTTCGTAAAAATGCTATTTAAAAATTTTATTTTGTAGCTCTGTATCTCGAAAACAAGAGGAGATAGACATATAGTTCATAAGACAGAAAAATTGTTATTTTTTGTCGTACTATAACCTCCTGAATTTATGGGAGGTCTTTCTGAAACACTCTGTATAGTCTTTATTAAGGCTGTTTTACAATAAAAATGAAAATTATATCAGAAAAGATAATAATATAATACTTTTCCGTTACTTAAAAGAGGTCATTAGACACACAAAAGTGATTCATTAGCTTTAATGAAAGCAGAAATTACAGTGTTACAATAATTAAATGATCTTTTGTGACATGGAAACGTATGTTTTATCTTTACTAAGATAAAATTCTTCTCATAGTGTACTAACTTGGCTAAAGACTAATTATACATATAGTTGAAACATTGGGAAATTAAAAAGGAAAATGACTTAATAGTTATTCTAAACTCACATTTTTAAAGAACTACCAACATGTGACACCAAAACAGTGCTAATAAGTCACTTATTACGACATTTATGTCATGGATCTAGTATAAGGAAAATTTTAGTTTTAGATGAAGTAATAAAAAACAAGTAGGAGTGGGATATATTGGTAAATTATTTGTGTTCAGAGTTGATCTTACTAGTAAAAATGTATATCTAATTTATTATTCATCAAAGTGTTTTGTTGTAAATGTAATGTAAGAGTTGAAAATTATTGTGAAAAGGATTGTGCAACTAAATTCTAAGTTATATTTAAAACAAGTTGCTGGGCCATTGGTTTAGGATTCTTGGCGTTTCGAGCGACATATCGCTCTCTTCATCAGAGGAAACTCTGAAAGTGGAGATTAAGTTCTCTGATTTATATTTGCTGCTTGTATTGCTTGCAGTCATCGCTTCGTGTCTTTGATTTTTTCCATCTCGATTGATCGATTATTTTGGGTTTCTATAGGCTCCCTGCAAAACCTTGGCTAAAATTTTTTCTCTCTCTCTCACTAGAATTCTAATATTATTTACGTCTATTGCATGACTTGTATCTGCTCATTATTCTGTAACTGCTGATTTTCTACGTTATTATTCTTCTACGTTGTTATTCTATTTGTGCATTTTCTTGTTTGTCCAATGTATACTTTTCTGTATAAACCGGAATGCTGTATACACCGGAGTTTTGCAGTAAATGGATTCTTCTGGTAACACTAGCAGACTTAATCTCCAGTTTCAAAGTAGCTTTCGAAATGTCAAAAAACCTAAATCGACGAGTCGACAACTGCCACCTCTTGTCTTTTTTTCAAATAGGTATCTCATATCAATAAAGATTCCCTTCACTGAATAATCCATCTAATAAGATTGCCCTGAACAATGAAATATAAAGCAAATCCTCAAAAATACTTGCCTTCGTACTTACTTTATCCCTTACCTTCAGTTCAGTTTGGAAAAACGGAAGGTGCTCGCCCTCTTTGGTAACCTTGTGCCTGATCAACTGCGCCCTCACGTGCGCCTCAATGATGTGGCTCTTCCTCATGTCCCCCACCCTGAACATGAGACAGGGCACCCCGTCCCTGTGGTTTATCACAGCATGTCTGGAGAAGAGGAGGGTTTGCGTCCTCTTCTTGGGCCTGGAAAGTTTGGCGAACACTACCCCCACCATGAAGGCCTGGATCATAACCCCGCATATGCTCTGGATGCACATGACGAAGATCGCCTCCGGGCACTCCTCCGTGGTGGTCCTGACACCGTACCCGATGGTGTGCTGGGTCTCCACGCTGAACAGGAAGCAGGAGGTGAAGCCGTGGATGTTTGAGATGCACGGCTGCCAAGGCTCAGTTGAGTTTCCATTCTGGAAATAAATACTGATTTGAAGAACAGGTTTGAATGCTAACGTTTAACGTTCTAATAGAATTGATAAACAATATACAGTGTGTTCCCGGATGGAGTATCGCACTCTTGTAAAATTTTTATTGATTTTTTGAGAAAAAGTTATTCTTGATAAAAATGTTATCTTGGGAAGTCATTGGCAGTAATCAAATATGTAATAAAACATACAGCGGGTTCAAAAAATTTTAAAATGAGAAATTTTCCATAAACAAAGTGCCTTTAATTTTTGTTTTCGTTAAAACCTGTATTTAACAAAGTTGTTCGAGAACTCGAGAAATGTTTAAATACGGGATTTAATCAAAAAAAAATAATAATCACATATTGCAAATAAGAAGACTCGATTTTTAACTATTTTACTTAAAGCACAGAAAAATTGTAAAAAATAAGAACTTTTATTTTAAATTTAATATACCTAAGTAAGGGCTAATTATTTTATGATACATTACGCCACACCAGACATTTATTTTTTAAATTTTTGACTATAAGCTATTAATCGAAAATTTAGATTACTTTAGCCAAGTATCTACAATTTTGAGAAAAACCCCGCTATTAGTTGTGAATGTTGATTCGTCAGTAAATAAAATATTGTGATGAAGGAATCTATTTTCAATCAGTCTCTCGCCCATTGTTAAAAAAGTCCAAACGACGACCATCATCTCCATCAAGCAATTTACTGCTTTGAATGGATATATTTTATTGTATATCTACTAAAATTCTTTGAATATCAGATCTGCTAGTAGCTATGATTTCTGACCTTTTCCTAGTTGACATAGAGTCCATAACTACAACAGTAACAGTATCGTTATCATTGTATTCTTTTTTTATCTTTTTAATATACTATACATCACCAGTGGTATCGAATTTTATAATTAGCTTGCGAATTGCTCCACGAGTTACAGTTACATTTGGATACTTTTCATTAAAAATTTATGTTGCATATCGATATGAAATATTACCGATCCCATAACATTTCACAAGATAAATTCGTTGCTCCAGGCTTAGCGTTACTAATAAAAAATATTTAGTGGGCAGTTAAAAAAATAAACATACTGACTTTGACATTGAAAAGGAAATATCCATGGTATGTAAGTCAGTTAAAAATTGCGGCGACTTTTTATTTGCAAATTGTGATTATTCTTCCTTTTTGACTAAACATCCGGGGGACACAGTGTATAGAAAAAAATTTACAGGTCATGAAATATAGCTACGCTAAATTAAAAAGAGAATGGGATGACATTTCCGCTTGGATTTAACAGAATAAATTTCCACCCAATATCGATTATCTTGGATATAATAATAATAATAATAATAATAATAATAATAATAATAATAATAATAATATCTCTACTCCTCATTCTAATTACGAGAATTAGCCCAGAAGTCGGAGACTTGTGCGGGAGAGGAGGCGGCATATTATTATTACGCAGGCCGCATTTGCGCCCAGGAACGACTTATGTTGGTAGGCCCTAACCACCATTCAGTGCAGGAATGAGGGAAACCTGGAAAACCTCATTAATTAGGGGGGTGGTCAAATGCCAACCGGTGTCAATCTCTCACATTGACCCAAGCCAACATTCTTCCACCCTACCATACCCGCACAGAGGGCGCCAATCCTCCGTACAAGTATAGATATGCGAAGATAAAATCAGTCTTACAATTTTGTAATTATTAGTGAATACCAGAAACCTCAAAATCTGCTACAAAATAATTACTAAAAATCACTGTATTGATTTACTACAGCCTCGAGGTTTCCGACTCATTCAAAGCTATCTTTAGAGATTTTAAATACAGTGTCCCCCTAAAGTCGTGCACAAATTCATTATTAGGTAAACAAAAGAAATTATTAAAAATTCCCGAAACAGGTCGGTTTTTGAATTTAATTTACTATTTTTTCAAATAATAATTTAATATACAGGGTGACCTATATTCGAGTAATAACGTCGTCATAATTTTTTTTTAAATGGAACATCCCACTTTTTTCCCAATTTTCGGATTGCCCTAACTGAGCTGATTCCAAAAATATACCACAAGTTGCTTCTAATTGTTACAGGGAGGACAACAATACCCAAATTATTTACAAATACTAAATTTATTTACAAATAAATAAACGTACTAAAAATTGAATCAAATCACCACATATCATTTTAAAATGTCATTATTTTTTGCTATAATTTCTTTGATGCTTTTTTAATTTTATCTGCCTGATAGAACGTGCTCGTGTATTTCTTGCAGGCAATCATTTTTAAATAGTTTGTTAAGATTGTACAAGTAAATCCATTTTGAATGATTCTTCCTTAAAATATTGAGTATTTTTGAATTAATTAAAAAACATGATTCTAAGTGAAACCGAACGGATTGAAATTCTTATGATGATCGGATATGGTGATAGAATTCGAACTCATGAGGAAGTTTGTGTTTTGTTTAATGAAATTCATCCCAATCGTCCACCAATAAATCGATCCACGGTTAGCCGAACTGAAGCAAAGTTTCGAAATCATGGTCATGTTAAAGATATGCCCAGATCTGGCCGACCGACTGTAGATGAAGAAGTGCAGTTACAAGCCCTTTTGACCATTCATGAAAACCCGCAATCCAGTCTGAGAGTCGTAGCAAATAATTTAGAAATGAGTGAAAGTACATTGAGTAGACTTCTTCACAGAAACAAATATCATCCCTACAAAGTCCACTTAATACAAGAATTATGTGACGATGATTTCGACAGACGCACAGAATTTTGCGAAATGATTTTGTGATGATGAAGAATGTTAGGCAGATCCGGATTTTGTGAAACGCATAATTTTCTCCGACGAGGCGTCTTTTTATTTGAATGGCACGGTCAATAAACAGAATTGTCGGTACTGGTCAGATCGCAATCCACATTGGATGATGGAAGCACACACTCAGCATCCCCAAAAGGTCAATGTTTGGGCCGGAATTGTTGGTAATCGAATTTTGGGGCCGTATTTCTTTGAAGGAAATTTAGTTGGTGCAAGATATTTGGAATTTCTTCAGTTCCATTTAGTTCCTTCCTTCCTTGAGTGTTCTATTTCCAAATGAAGAAGATCCAGATTTACCCAATGAAAGCATTTGGTTTCAGCAAGATGGTGCACCATCGCACTATGCCAGCGCTGTTCGCCGCTATTTAGATGACGTGTTTCTTCATCGGTGGATTGGCAGAAGAGGACATAAGGAATGGCCCACCAGATCACCAGATTTAACACCGCTCGATTTTTTTTCTTTGGGGTTATGTAAAAAGCAAAATATGCGTCAATAAACCAAACAGTATTAACAATCTGAAGGAACGAATTCGGCAAGAAGTTCGAGCGATCCCGCCTGAAGTCATTGGGAATGTACAGCAAGAATTTACTTCCCGTCTGGCCCATTGTTTGGCAGTAAATGGTCAACAATTTAAACATTTAATTTCGGTGTTTCTGATGATTTGATTCAATTTTTAGTACGTTTATTTATTTGTAAATAAATTTAGTATTTGTAAATAATTTGGGTATTATTGTCCTCCCTGTAACAATTAGAAGCAACTTGTGGTATATTTTTGGAATCAGCTCAGTTAGGGCAATCCGAAAATTGGAAAAAAAGTGGGGTGTTCCATTTAAAAAAAATTGTGATGACGTCATTACTCGAACATAGGTCACCCTGTATATTATTATTGATTATTATTTGAAAAAACAGTAAATTAAATTAAAAAATCGACCTGTTTCGGGAATTTTTAATAATTTCTTTTGTTTACCTAATAATGAATTTGTGCACGACTTTAGGGGGACACTGTATATTGTGATTGCAGAAAGACTTCTTTGCAGGGTAGCATCTACAGAGAATCCACTAAATGTAAAGTTGTATCAGATTTTGTGGTGTCGGGTTTAAACAAAAAAAAAACAAAAAATTATTTTTTGACAAACGTGGATAGACGATTTTCATGAAAAAAGTTCAAACTCATCAACGGCAGATCACAGATGAAAATTTGAGGTATGTAAATATTCTTAGCTGAGACTAAAGAAGTGTAAGGTAATTTTGTAACCAAAACGTTAATTTAATGGTTTGTACATAGTGCATTCTTGCCACAAAACTCAAGAAAAATAAAAGTTTAGTTAGAAATAATCGTTTCTATAAATCTCTAAAGGAAGATAATATCCGATGTCAAACTATTCTTTAGATCAAATCTCTCAAACTCCTCACTCGATATCATTGGCCTAACTTTGTTAAAATTTTACATGTGGGAAATTATTGTAGTAAAACTGTATTCCCTTCTTTAAATTATCGTAGAGTTAAGGAATCATCTCAGGAAAAATGTAACTCATGTTACTTTATCTATCTTTATATTAAGGAGAAAAGCGACTAATTATTTCTTCAGTTACTTACTAGATTCTCCTCGTTTAAATCCCCATGCGTGAAAACTATCATCCACCACACCACAGCGAACAACAGCCAGGACACAAAGAAGTTCATGGCGAACACCAACAGCGTCCAGCGCCATTGTGCGTCCACTAACGTCGTGAAGATGTCCTGCAGGTACTTCCTACGCCTCTTCGCCACATTTCCCTGGACCACGTTGCAGTCCCCGTGTTTGAAGACCACACGCTTTCTTATTCTTCTTGCGTTGAACCGAGATTGACGAAATCTGGAAGAAAGGGAAAAGAAGTCTTAATACATTTAGATCTTGCCATGGAAATAAGGGAAATTATTTTTCAGTCAAAAGTTACAGGATTATTCCAAATAAACGTAGTCACCTTGATCTACTTTAAATCTATTTCAAGCAGTATGGTTTTAACGGAAACACATCTTAACGGAAGTCTAAAGAGTCTAGAGTTACTTCTTTAAAAAATATAAACCAATTCTTAATTTCTGTTTCAGAAATAAAGAAGAAAAGTAATTTAAACTATAGAATGAATTCCAAGGGTTGCATATAGATTAAACTGTCTTCAAAACATGTACGAACTCGTGTTCGAAAGTAAGTAGACGACTATCATTTGTGATTTATTCTCTGATCTAATCATCTTGCCAGGATGCGTTTTTTTCGCAAATACTTTACATTTTAGATGTTAATTTTACTCATGTTTAGCAGTTTTAGGTAAGATATTTCCGGCAAAATCTGTATCTTTCTAGGATTTACACAGAATAGTTTATAAACTGTCGTTGATTCCAAATGAATTCTGAAACGTTTGTTCTTCTTTTCCATTCATCTTCATCTTTCACATGTGTATATTAATCGAACCACATGAATTTTCCTTTATTCATTTTTTATCACTCATCTTTTATTTAAGTAAGTTAAGTTAAGTCAGTAAGTAGTTCTTTATTTTCGACAGTTGGTCATTGACGAATTGCACAAAATTTATTAACATCAAAGTAGTATATTATCGTAAATTTATAAGTATCAGCTATAACTAATTTATCAATGTTATAAAATCAAATGAGTTGCGGTAATCATAAATAATTTATTGGTTTGTTTGGCTCGTTCTTTATTGCCCTTTGAACAAGCTTTGAATAGGGATATGCGCTGTCTTTTAAATATGCACGTATTATATTTTAATGACAGGTATGCGATGTAAATGAGATCAGTGAAATTAATTTGTCCAAATTACAGACAGATAGGAAAATATTACTTTTTTAAAAGGTGCAACATTTTGAGAGTTGACAGATATTTGGAAATATATTATTTTTTTAAAAGGTGATTTTGAGAACCGCCGTGCACATTGTGCACCAACTAATTGCGAGTTTCCCAAGTCATGGGTCAAGATAATTATGTGGAAGACTCAATCTTTTTATACTGCAGACTAAATCCAACTATACTGTACTGACTGATTCTTATTTAAAAAATAGTAAGTGGTTTTAAAAGTAAATTCAAATTTATTTAATAAATTAAATTACTCAGTGATTTCATACTCATATTTTTACTTCATAATAAAGAAAACTCCAAATGACTGCAATACAAAATAATCGCGTAAGCTGTGTCAAATTATTCTATGAACTTGGATCATTGCTGGCTATGGGTTCTAAAAGATTAAGAAATAATACAGGGTGTTCCTAAATAAGTGTCGCAACGGAAAACTGTAAATTCCTCTTGAAAAAAGAAACATTTTTTCCTCTTCCATTTTTCTCTCCGGGCTTTCGTTTTCGAGATACACGGTGTCAAAACTTTAATTTTTTTTTAGTTTTTCGCCAATATCTTAGGAATTGTTTGAACTACAGGACTGAGCTTTTGTACACACATTACCACTATTAATAGCTACTTTTTCGCACCCTTCTCGAATTCATTGAACGTGCCAGTGGTGGAGATTTTAAGGTATCGTAAGGGTTTTTCCCCCTAAATTTTACGCCACTGGAAAAATTGACTTTTGACAGCAAATTCTAAAGCGCCAATGAATTTTACACAATAAGAGTTCTCTTGGTTCATTGCTTTAAAGTCAACCGTTTTCAAGAAAAATGACTTTTTATGAACAAAAGCAAACATTTTGCTAACGTTTCGAAAATCTTTTGTAATTCAAAAAATAGGTAGTAATAATTAACAATTATAACGAAATTTAACAACGGAAAGGATTTTAACTTTTTTTTATCAATTTGGCGAGTAAAATTTACAGAAACTGTTCAAAATTACGTCCGTTGGCTTGAATGCACGCATTACATCTTCTAATCATGTTTCTTTCTGCCGCTGCGGCTTCACCTCTATCGGTCAACTTTTCGATAGTATTGACATGGAAATGTTTACTTTTGTTCATAAAAAGTCATTTTTCTTGAAAACGGTTGACTTTAGAGCAATGAACCAAGAGAACTCTTATTGTGTAAAATTCATTGGCGCTTTAGAATTTGCTGTCAAAAGTCAATTTTTCCAGTGGCGTAAAACTTAGGGGGGGGGGGAAACCCTTACAAAACCTTAAAATCTCCACCACTGGCACGTCCAATGAATTCGAGAAGGGTGCGAAAAAGTAGCTATTAATAGTGGTAATGTGTGTACAAAAGCTCAGTCCTGTAGTTCAAACGATTCCTAAGATATTGGCGAAAAACAAAAAAAAAAATTAAAGTTTTGACACTGTATCTCGAAAACGAAAGCCCGGAGAGAAAAATGGAAGAAGAAAAAAATTTTTCTTTTTTCAAGAGGAATTTACTGTTTTCCGTTGCGACACTTATTTAGGAACACCCTGTATAATAAACATTAAGATATCTCTAGCTATGAAAACGGACAAAACAGAACAAATTTAAACTGTCAAGGTAACTAAAACGAAAAGACAAAAAAAGTTCAAAAGACGAACATAGATAGATTTTCGAAATGTCAACAACTTTTTAAACTGTGAAATTTTTTGTTAAGCAAAACTATTTTCGTAAAAATATCCCCACTGATTCTTTTGGCGCAAGGGTTTGTTTCAATAATTTTCAAATTATTTTCAAGCTGGCAAAATACCCAAAAATATGAAAAAAAAAACGAAAACTATACCACAAATAGTGATGAACTATAGAAAAAAATAAATTTTGTCACAATTTAGACATACATAAGATTGGAGAAGTTAAATATATCCTTATACTGGCTATGTTTTATTCAAATAAGTACGAATTTGTGCAAAACTAGTTATTCTATTTTACATAAAAAACTTCAGTGGAAATAGTCCATATCCTCATTTTGCAATAATGGCTATCTCAGTCAAATAACGTTTTTTGATAGCTAAAACTCCCCTCAATTCCATTCGTTATTAGTCGATTGCTCTGTACCAAATGCGAAACCTACATCTCCAATAATCTTGCTAGAGTAATTAATCAAAAACTATGTTTCACTTCCAAACTTTAAATAGTCGTCCTGAAAATTCATCTAAACATCACAGAAATAGAAAGAACACAACAAACTAAATAAAAACAACAAAATAAATCTAAATGAGGTTTATACAAAAATTGAAATACCTCTCCCAAGTATTACACTTATATCCATCGAAGTCTTGGATGTAACTGAAGGAGCACACTTTCATCATATTTCTTCCACACTTGAATAATTATTATTACGGAAAATTAGTCGCTATTTATCGTCTAGCATAATATGTCACGCTGCTCTGATAATGCTGAACCCTTCTACAATTGTTATTAAAAGTAGAAACTGATATCGACTAATGAATGATTCCATCAATCACGACGTAGTGACTTATTATTTGTTCAGATTAATCAGGGGTATAATTGCTGGTGCCTTGCAGATGCATACTGTTGATTACTGGATGCAAAAATGTGTTTGGCAGACCGGATATCGAGAAATAGGCAAATGTAAATGATGCATTGATTGAGCGACGACATGGTTATTTCCCGTCACATATTTTCATGGCGTCTTAAATGTTTATTAAAATGTGTTATTGCAAACAAAGTTGTTATTCCATTGGAAGTTCTAGTTACAGATATACAATTACAAAAAATTGAAATAAAATGAAATGAGAAAACAAAGAATTACAAACATTCACCTCCTGAAATAATAGTTTGTTCATGGTGTATACCAAATTGTACACACTTTATTTTGTGATAGAACATTTCAAAATAAGAAAAAAGTTCATATAAACATTGGTCTTACAATGCTTCGTTTTCGAAATACAGATATGTGTACAGCTGTGGATAATAAAAAGTTTCCAAATAACTTTTGATCCGTTATAATAGCGGGCTTTATTTATTTTCGCACTTTAGATCCCTTTAAACGTTTTAGATTCTAAACCTTGTTTTGTCTACAACAGTACCTACATGAATTGTAGAAACATTTAATGTTTTCATTAAATATTTGATTTCTATAAAAACAGCGAATGATTCTGATTTTTAATAATTATTCTAAATTACAAAAATATATAAGTACTTCATTTATTTCTATTACCTACAGAATATATATAATAATCTATAAAATACAATAATTACTTTATTGATATATTACCAGTATAGGTTAGTAGAAAAACCCAAAAAAGTACTAGAATTGGATCTTAATTATAAAATGAGGGAAAAAAGAATGTGTGAAATCGAAAACTTTGTGGAGATTATCAACAGTAGTAATCTATATTATGCTAATAAGTGGTAATACGCATTGTAAAAGCAGAAATAGGCTAAATCTATGATCAAGCCGTGTACCGCTCTATATGCTACTGACTGCCAAAAAAACATGTGCCATACACTCGACTAAGCAAATTCGTCATACACGCACAAAATGAAATGCACAATCAACGACCCTCAACAAAAAACTTGGCCCACAGGGCAGACATTAGGGTGCCGTTAGTTACGTATCGAATAAATTGATCGATGCGAAGCTTCAGATCCGAGGCAGGCATGTACATATTACCACCATTAGTAAAAATAGCATCTATTAAAAACTTCGACTATTTTAAATATGTGCCTGTGACCTGGGTAAACGTTGAAAGGTCATTTTCGTTTATGAAATGGAGATTTACCGAGGAATAGGACAACTGTTAATTATTTTCTTGGGAAAGCATTTTTAGGAAAATGGTAAGGACAATCAGAGGGAGTGATAGTTTTTGAGTCACTAAAAAATTGTCAGTCCCTTCTATTCCATCATCGAAAATAAAAAAATGACAGCCGGAATAATCACTTGACCTCTACTTCACCTTGGCCATTGACGTTAAGGTCATGATTGAGATCATAATAACATGTAGAATTCTA